CTGCACCCTGGTGACATGCCTGCACCCCAAGCCCTGCGTGTGTGGGTGGGTGTGGTAGCGCGGGAATAGGGAGGCAGCTGAGGATGGGGAGGGAAGAAAGGGAGGGGAAAGCGGCCCCTCCCTGGGGCCAGCTCCCCCGCTGACCCCAGTAGGCACCCCCACACTCTGGAACCCACCAGGGCAAGGGGGCCCAAGCCCATCCAGACCGGGGCCCGCAGCAGCAGCACCGCCCAGCCCCACAGAGTCCGGGACAGCCCACCCGACTCCACCCCAGAGAAAACTGCACCCACCCCATCATCCAATCATCTCCCAAACTACACAAGACAATAGACACCCAGGTTGAGTTCATTCTCCACCTCTCCTATATCTCTCCCCCCCACCTGCAGAGTGAGCTCCTGTAGAGAGGAGACCACCTGCAAAGATATGACAACCTCCCCACCAGTTAGAGAGCCCCCTAGTAGGGGCTAGGGGGCTCCAGAAATTTGTTTTAATCCGTGTCAGTCTTATAACAAAGTCATGGGGTTGAAAAACGTCTGATCTACTTTTGACCACATTTGCCTGTGAACTCACAGTAGGCACAGTATCTACTCAGTAAGAAAATGAACTGATTAAATGCTGCTCATGCATGGCTGGAGGCTGAGGTCAGTTTAAAGTGATGTCACTACAGAGATATTTCCATCACACATCCTGATGCTCTCTAAGAACTGATGAGGCAGCATAAAGTTTCAGTCAAAAACAAGACTTTAATTTAGGAGGACGGTTTGAAGCACCCGGGCTGGATACAGCAGCTGTGAAAGGAAGAAGAATTTGTGATCATCATCAGCTGGAAATTAAACTGTGTTGGAACTTCATGTGAAGCTGTCTGTTCTTTTCTTTCCTGTCCTCATATGTGTCCAGTTCGGCCTCATGTGTGTCATGGCTTACTTGCTGTATGGTCAACAAATATGCATCATCGGGGTCACATTTGTGGAGGGTGGTGTCATTTAGTGAACTGACCATTAAACATGATATGTGTTAATATTATAATAATACAGTAAATTCAGCATGGCAGTGTGTGTTTTATTAGGATTAGGAAAGCTTCAGTGATCTATGTGGTTATTAAAGAAACCTTGCTCACTGTGGTGTATTGTGTATATCATTGAATCTGTCAGACTTCAGCATTATCCAGTTTATTTTTAGCCCTGCTAATAACACAACTTAATCTGTAAACAAGTTAAAGATTACACTCACCAACAACTTTACAGTCTTAGGCACCCCTGATCAACTGCTCATTAATGCAAATATCTATCACATGGCAGCAACTCAGTGTATTTAGGCATGTGGACATGGTCAAGGCAACCTGCTGAAACTCATCCAAGCATCAGAATGGGGATGAAAGCTGATTGAACTTTGAACATGTTTGTTGGGCCAGGCAAACTGATCGGACCTCATAGGGTTTTCAAACACAACCATCTCCAGGATTTACAGAGAATGATGCTGTCAGCTAAGAACAGGAAACTATTCACACAGGCTCACTGAAACTGGACGGCTGAATGTTGCCTGGTCTGATAAGTTATTTCTGGGGCGACACTCATATGGTAGCAATATGATGTAAACAAGATGAAGGCATGGATGCATCCTGCCTTGTATCCACAGCTCAGGCTGCAGGTGGTGGTGATGGTGTGGGGAATATTTTCTTGGCACATTTTTTTATGAACTGAGCATCATTTAAATATTACAGCCTACCTGAGTATTGTTGCTGCCCATCTCCATCCCAGTATGGCCACACTGCACCCATCTTCTGATGACTGCTTCCACCAAGATAACGCGCCATGTCAAAAAACTCAAATAATCTCAAAGTAGTTTCTCAAACATGACAATGAGTTGACTGTTATTAACCCCGATTCTTTTGTCTCACAGTGTGTGGGCTTGAAATCTCCAGCAAACACAGGCCCAACTCAGCTGTTTCTTCTCTGTTTATCTTTCTACTCTTGTAGGTTAACTCCCAGCATGGCAAATATCACGTCCAGTGCCTTCAAACAGTCATGTCACTGGTTAAGTTCCCAGCTTGTGATTCAAAGCGCAGATTCCATCAGTGGTGTTCATACATGCTGCTGCTTGTCCCTTCAGTGTTATAGGTCAGTTGCACTGCCTTTTGCCTGCGGTTAACTCTTCAAGTCCACGATGTTCTGTCTGTCTTCTGTCTTCATCAGGAGATTGTCTGTCCTTCAAGCTTCTTCTCAGGATGGGGACAAAGTGAGAGGTCAAGCTGTAAAATTTTAAGCCAAAGCCTGGCCTGTTTTCATCCCAATTCTGTTAATCGATCCTTTTGCCGCTGCACTCATGTTTTGAGGTTGAGAAGAGTCCACCTGTATTGACACACTAAAACATGTAATTAATATCATTTTTCATTACTTTTTCTTAAGACATTCAGTCTCTAATTCCCCTGTTTTCATGCTGCAACGTCTCTCACCAGCTCACAAGCTATAATCAGACTTCCTGTTTGACGCACACACACACTCTCTTCTCTCAGACTTCCTCTTTTTCCCGCACTCTGCTATGAACCAACGTAATGTTATTATTACTTATTTATTATTTGGTACAAATCACACAGAATCACTCAAATCCAGTACTCACACACAACATTCACACACTTGGAATCACTCAAAATACGCTTTCCTAAGAGTATTTTATTAAACTTGCTTTTAAAATCAGAAAGAGGAAGTACACTGCAGCCAGTAACTGCGTATGTCCTCTTAAAAGGGAAGAGAAATAAACACATATGGGACAATTCTCCCCAAATTTGACAAAATATGACCATAAATGTCCTTTTCTGAGTCATGTTCTTCTCTACACACAACTCTTGGCCTCCAGGGCATAAAACTTTGGACTTATAACCGTGATATAAGTCCTCACAGCGCACCAAGCATGGAGAAAACTCAGTCTCAGTGCTTCAAAATTCTCACAAGATTCAAAAACCGTTTCTGTCATTTATCTGCCCAAGAACTTCATCAAATGGACCTCTATGGGTCCAGTATCTTCAGCACATGTATATCACTGCAGCCAGTGAAGATTTAAAACAGTTTCTTGTCTCAGTGCACCCAGCATTAACTTATCAGATGGATCGCAGCCGATCCATCAATATCAACACAATTGTGTATCCCCATGTACACAACTGATTCTTCACTTGTGTCACAGCACATCTAGTAATATCTTCAGAATTACTTTCCATTAGAACTCAAAATCACAACTGACTCGATTCTCTGAAATCCTGAGCCACTTAGACACCTTGCCCAGTTCTAGGTGCCCTTCTCATCAGACTTCCACGTCCGGAATTACTCTTTTTACTCACAAATAAGTGTCTCCTAAAATGATCCTGTCAATCACTGGCTATTTTTAAAACCAAGCCCACAACTCTTGGCAGGTGCCACCTGCAGTATGCCCATGCCGGAGCCCCCTTCCAACGTCTCAGAGGGGTAGGAGGTTCTCGAACCCCGTGAGTTTGACACTTATTAAACCATAAACTGACCAATAACCTATGATCCTGTGTTATCCTAAACACACATTGGTCTCTTTTACCATAAAATACCATATGACCTTTAACTCAGTACTGTCAATCTCAAGGTTTCATTATCCTTACTTCAAAACTTCACTTTATTCTCAAGAATTTAGTTTTACCACTACTGAGCCAATTTAATAGTTAAGATCATCACTCAGTGAACAGATAATTTAGAATTCATCCAATCTGCACAAATGTGCTTTTTGAACAGGTTTGTGCCTGTACCTTTAAATCTCTTTAGACCGGTCTTCTGTTCGCCTCATATCAGATCCAACCTTCGGCCACATTTCTTCTCTCTGTCACACGAAGAACCGGGCGGAAACACCAAATATTAACCCCGATTCTTTTGTCCCCGTGATAGAACAGAGAAACCCGACTCATAGTGGTCAAAACATTTTATATTTATTTTTATTCAATCATCTTCAGGAAGAGAGAGACCCCTGCACAGCTCAAATGCCAGTTGCAGGATCTCTAACATTTTTAGCTCCACATGTGTCTTATATGGTGTTATTTCTGCACTTTACACGTCACACAGTCTCAAACATTGCTTATATGGAAAAGTTCCTCTTTTCTGTGTCTTATCTATTAATATATCTGTGCACTAAAACTTCCTGTTTTTCAGTCTGGCTGAGCACTTAGCTTGTGAGTCAAAAGTGGCCTTGCTCTACAAACCTTCATTATTAAAGTACATAAAACAATCTAATGAGCAGATACACATTAAAAATATCTCTCTATTTCTTAACACTGCACTCACATGGACTCCACAGTCACCAGATCTCAGTACAATAGAGCACCTTTATGATAAGATAAGATAAGATAAGATAAGATAAGATAGAACTTTATTAATCCCTCGGGTGGGTTCCTCTGGGAAATTCGATTTCCAAAAAAGCACAGCAACGACCGAAGTTACAGTTACAGAATTGTTATATATATATAAATATATATACACACACACACACACACACACACACACACACACATATATATAAATACAGAAACAAATATAAATAAAATATACAAAGGGGATAAATAGAATAAATAGGAATAAAAAATAAAAATACAAGTGAATTGCACATTTCAAGTATTGATGTGGTAAAATGAAGGTTCACATCAGAGTTGTGCAGCTGACAAACTCTGTGACACCATCATGTCAATATGGACCAAAATCTCTGAAGCATGTTTTCAGCACCGCACCAGACAAATGGAGAAAACTTTATTGAAACTGGAAACTAAATAATTTTGAGTAAAACCAGTAAACTCTGTATCAGGTAGGAAAGAAAAACACCCACACTCTCCACAGGTCCTGCTGTTAGTTTTCTCCTATTTACTGGATTCTATGATAAATACTTTTTTGTTGTCTCATAATTTCTAGAGGTTTTAGAAACACTGCCTTTGCTACTGATTTGCTAGACAATAAAACACTGGCCATACGAGACAATCAAGTAAAAGTTATTTAAACTAAAACACTGTTTTGAAACAATTTACCTCACGCTCCATGGATGAAATATTCCCCCCAAAAACATAATCCACACTAAACAACATCAGCAGACAGGAAGCTGTTATGGCATCACATGACATTAAGTTTTATTTTTGAGATGTTTTACAATCGAATCTGTTACATACAATATAGAAATGAATTGAATATTGAAATGAAATGCAAACAAAAATATCCAGGAATTTTGTGATCATCTTCAATTATCAGAAGTCTGACACGAATCAGAAAAGACTTAAAAATATGCTTTAGTATGTTTAGAGAAATGAAGCTTTATTGTACAAAATGTGCTATTTTCTAAGATTGAACTGATGAATTATCATTTGCCAGTTTTTACTAATCCACTACTTATAACATGAAAAAGTATAAAACAAAGACATTTTACCTTCAAATAAGTGACTATCTTGTTTATGGAGCGTCTTTACTTTTTGTTGCATAAGAGAATGATTTTATGAATTTTATCGTTTTAACATAAAATCTCACAGATTTCAGCGCTACCACCGTATACACCGAGCCCAACCAGGAGTGGGCACCTAGTCTTGACTCTGTGGAGAAGAGTCATGGTTCGAGTGCTTTCAGAGACGCTGTAGAAGGATGAAAGTGCTGCTGCCTGAATGTCTGAATGTATAACCGCCACTGAAACACTCCAGCGCCCATGAACTGTTATTGTTTCCAAAAGCACTCTCTTTTCCTGATCTGCTTACCCTGCTGTAAGCTAATGCTATAAAGACATCATCCCCGCTCCACTCCACCTCCCAGTAACAAGGTCCTGTGAAACTCTCTCTGCTCAACACCTGAGGCCAGTCAGTGAATCTGTCAGTGTGATCATAGTACCTGATTGTCTGAGTATGACTATATTTTGCTTTTAAGCCAGGCCCAAGCACAACACGCTGGTGTGCTGTGTTTGGGTTAAATGTGATTTCACATTTATATTTTAGGAATTCAGCTCTGGTCTTGGGCTCTGACTCAAAGTCTGAAACATCCCCTTGAGTTTCTTCAACAGCAGTTATGGTCCATTCAACACTGGACTGCAGTTTCTCTCTGGACTCTGACACAGCTGCTGCCACATCCTCGGTGTAGCTCTCAGGATGAATATTGATTCTGGCTGAGTCTGGAGCTTCACTGAGACGTGACAGCAAGGTGTAGTTGTGTAGAAACTGGGTGGGGTCCTTTGTGTGAGAGAGCTGCTCCAGCTCAGTTTTTCTCCTCCTCAGCTCAGAGATCTCCTGCTGCAGGACCTTCACACTTTTCTCTTTCTCTTTAATTTTCCTCTCGATGTTCTGCTGTCTCTCTTTGAGCTCTGTCTGCTTCTCGCTCATCTCTGCTGCAGTGGAAACTGTGTCGTGGCCTTTATGTTCATCCATGGAGCACAGATAACAGATACACTGCTGATCAGTGTGGCAGAAGATCTTCATCACCTCATTGTGGCGAGGGCACATGATCTCCTGGAGCTGCTGGAAGGGGTCCACCAGCTTGTGTTTCTTAAAGGCAGAGGATTCATAGTGAGGCTGGAGGTGCTGCTCACAGTAAGAGGCCAGACACTGCAGACAGGACTTGACAGCTTTCAGCTTTGTCTCAGTGCAGACGTCACAGCTCACATCTTCATGTTCAGCATGACAGAGATCAGCTTTAGCAGCTTGGAGTCCAGTCTTCTTTGTTTCCTCCACTAAATCTGCTGTGAAGGTCTGTCTGCACTGAGGACAGCTGTGGGTTTCCTTCTGATCCTCTTCATCCCAGTAGCTTTTAACACAGTTCATACAGTAGCTGTGTCCACAGGGAATAGTCACCGG